CTACACAATCCAGTGAATCCAAGGTAGGCAGTCTTACGGCAAGTCAAATGGCTCCCATGGCTGGTAAGCAAGATGGCAGTACCATGGGCTCAAATCCAAAGGACCAGAGGTCGATGAGTCAAATACAGCATCCAGACCCATTAAGGAGCAAGCTAGCCTCCCCACAGTGTCTACTTATACAAGAATTCGGCCACATCACGGAGGTAACACCTTTTCAATTGAGTCAGGCCTATGGCCTCAGTAAGGGGATTGCACTCTATCCTAACATTCTTACAACTAATTGGCTATTCACATCCCATCCCATTATGGAGTTGATTAAGGATGTTAAGCATTAACTGGCAAGTCACTGAGCATCCCAAACCAGCTGTGGACTATCACAATAGTCCACAAAGACAATGTTCTATATCCTACTTTCATGAGTATTGCCTGGGGTCACAGATGTTTTCCGTTGCACAAAGTAAAATGCATTGGCTTATCAAAGAGATACATGAAAGCATAATTATCGAAATGCTCTTTTATTTTTGCGGTATAATGCCTTAAACATAAATGACCTGAAGTGCTTGCGAATAACCATCGAAGCTGCAATTATGGGTCTCTCCCCACCTGAAGCAAAGGCGAGTGAAGAAAATCATAGGTACATATAGACAACAAGTCCAGTGGACTAATACACCTCAGCCCCATGACAGCTAGACAGACAAATAGACCACAGGCCCCATGATGCCGAGACAAGAAAAATGATACTGAAAAGCTATCACCACCAACCTCTCTGAAAGGGATCACCCTGAACGTCCTGGAGCAGTGGTTCTCCACCTTCCTCCTGCCGCGACCCTTTCATACAGCTCCTCGTGTGGTGGTGACCCCCAACCATAAAATTACTTTTGTTACTACTTCATCGCTGTCATTTGGCTACTACTATGAATCAGGCGACCCCTGTGAAAGGGTCGTTTGACTCCCCAAAGGGGTTGCGACCCACAGGTTGAGAACCGCTGTCCTAGAGAGAGTGTGAGAAAAGTGTGGAACAAAACTCAAAATCATCAACAACAAAATACTAATCTTACTGGGCTGATAGAGACTTATGAAACCCCCAAGATTTTCCTCTTGATTATCCTTCAAGCCTGAAACTGAGCTCAGATCTGGGGCTGACTTTTAGCCCATCAATAGAGCAATCAGACCTGGGATGGCAAAGGGGCAGTATTTGCCCAAGGACAGAGCTCAGAAGGCAGGTGGGGCTGGGAAAGGAGAAGGGGAAATGATAAACACAGTTGTGTTTGTGGAAAGAGTGCTATTCCATTGGGAGGATTGCAGTCAGCGTCATGAAACAGAATGTATCTGAATTGTGGAATGAAAAACCAATTTGCTCTCCAATGAGATTACAGTATAAAGTTTTTGAAAAAGTGATTCCTTATTCTGAAATGTTCCTCCTGCCTGAATGTGCACTGGAAAATGGGGTACCAGAAGTAACCCTACTAGGAAACGTCAAAGTCTTGGACAATGTCTGCCAGAGCAGCTTTGCCAAGTGAGCATAGTGTATTGAGGACATTTTGCATTCAAATGTTATTTGACCTTTCAGTGATTTTATGCAGCGTCACTCAGTTCAACCTCAGAGTCCTAGCAACAAAAGAGCTTTCTACATTAGGGAGTTGTCCATTCATCCACTCAATTTTTTCTTTTTTCATCCAATTCCCTACCACCCTTTAAATGATCATTAAGATTAATAGACATGGAAACATCCAATGATCTATGAAGACACTTGCTCATGATCATGAGGGAAAATACTATGACGATTATGCTTCATCATCGCCAATATTCTAAAACCTTAATGCTATAAAGGACGCCAAGATTTGGTATAATCCTCCTTAGTTAACCAATGCCCCCCAAAGTTAGGTAGCAACAGCAATTGTATCATAATACTTGACAGACCACACACACACACCACTCTAGAACTTCAGTTCTACAAGAGCAGGAGCATTTGCCTATTTTGTTCACTGGTGTATCCCCAACCCCAAAGCTAGCCTAGAAATCACATGATCATAGCTAATGGATATTTGTCATCTCATTTGTCCCCAGAGCCTTTGTACCTATGGGGCAAGAAGGACCCATCCCTCCCCCCCGGAGGCGGGCATAGTCACTTTAAATGAGGTTCTAAGCCTAGTTTTTGTACCCTGGACTCTCTTGGATGGCGGGAGCCTATAGACACCTTTTCAGAAAACAAAAGGTTTGTAATTGCACAAAGAAAATGCGTTGGCTTACAAAAGAGATCAATGAAAGCAGAATGATCAAAATGCTCTTTTACTTTCGAAGCATAGTGTATTACATAACAAGATCTTGTGATGGATCTAGTAACTATCAAGGAAATGAACATGGATGCTTTTTGAAGCAACACCAACAATGCCACGTGACATGAAACTATTGGTAAGACAAGGATCCCTGGCGGGAAACCTGCTACCACATTGCTGTGCACTGGAACGGACTAAATGGCAGTGGGCTGGGTTGAGACTGGTGACAAACACAGGCCCAGCTTATATTACTGTTTGAATTCATGATGGAAGGAAATTCTACTTTTTCATCTGAGGTTAGAAAAGACTAAAGAAATTTATTTTTCTGACCAAGTTCATGGCTTTCTAGTCCTTTGGCCCCCTATCTTTCCCCCCTAATTTGGCAACCCCTTCAAGCAAATTACTGGGGGTAGGAGAGTGGGGCGAGTGGGATAGGGCGGGTAGAGTGGGATATGGGAATTGCATAGAAACATACTCTGATTTCAAAATATACTGACAGAAAACCATGAGACCACAGGTTCAGAAAACCTGCATTCCACCCTTGTTTGGTGGCTAAAAATCGGAATACCCCTGGTGCAGTGTTGGCAAGAGAAGTGATGCTCGTGATACCTGTGGAGCACGTCCAATATGCTAGGCTCCACTCACAGGTCTCTCTCCCCAACCCTCACCTCTCTGCCAAGTCTTTGCTACTGGAAGGTGGATTCAATAAGGGGAATTTGGGCAACTGGTGAGAAGAAAGTGTCATTTGGGGGGTGGGAGTTCCTTCCGTTTTTATTTGCAACTGACATGTATTCTTTTATTACCACTAATACAGAGAACTGACTAGATCTGTGCAGCTAAAACCTAGGTAGCTGGTCAATTTGCAGGCACGGCCATTCACCGTCAATCCTAATTCAGCTATCATTCTAGCTGCTGAGTGGCCACAGCTTGCAGGGCTAAGATGAGGACTGAATCTCCCTTGCCATCACCGGCAGTTTCTCTGGAATATATTTTCAGGGGTGGGGAGTTGTGGTGGATGTCCTTCAAGGAAACGCCGCCCTCCCCCCCAAATTTAAATCCTATGTCCTCTGCCCTCAAAAGAAATCTGTGTGTGATTCACTGGGCTGCTGTTTCCTGGCTGTTGGGCCCAGCAAATAGATCTAGCATCCTTTTGTGCTGAGAAGTATTCATGTTTAAAGATCCCATAAAAAATAAAAATGACAGTTAATGGGGGGAAGCTGGGCATCTGTGGTTTATCTGTTTTCTTTCCCTGTCTCTGGGCTTGGGAAGCAAAGTGGAGTGACAACTCATCGACTTAGCCATATTCTGGTCCACAATGTGGGACAATGGCAATGCGCTCAGACCCAAGGTTGAGTTCAGCCTACCGGATATTGGTCTTCTCTTGGAGCTGAGCGAATTCTGGGCATGGTCACTTCGAAAAGGGATTGCATCTGGAGGCCCCCTTTTTTTTTAATGATAAAAGAGGTTGAGTCAGAGCTGAAAGAAGTTAAGTCTGAGTTCAAAAAGAAATGAGACTGAGTTTGAGACTGGTGTAGAGCCCTGCATGACCCCACCAATAAGCATGGTAATAATAATAGGAAGAATCATCTTGCAGGAAGAGCCCCTTTTATTTTGAGAATGAAGAAATTTGGAAGCCTGCAAAGTGTAATTAGTCAGCTGAGACACAGGGCTTTTTCCCTTTTGAAAAGCACCTGGGCACTCTGAATGCCAAGTGCGTGTGTGGGTTTCCTGGCCAGTCCTTGCGGTGTCACATGGAAATCCATCACTGTGGACCCAGCACTGAGCATGAGCTCAAAACTACATGTTTGTTGAGTGAATGAATGACAATTCCCAAACTAGCCATAAGTCCTATGTCATATGAAAGCAAGTTTATAAAAAGCAAAAAAAAAAACCCTCGAAACTATTTCGAAGTATGAATCAGACTTGTGTAGGGTTTTCTATTTGGTAGTTTTCCCCCAAGGGCTTACAGAAAGGAACAAGAACTCATTGTGAAAGCCGAGCTACATGTAAGCAACCACTTCTCCCTGAATCACAAATGCTTGGCTGGTTTCAAGAAATGAACACGAAGCTCATAAAACTTACGTAAGAAGCTCCAGGAAAGGGCTGGCTTAGCTGGTGACCCAGGGAGACACAGTCGCAGATGAATTGCAGACAGAAGTCAGCTCTCCTGGAGTGTGTCCACCAGCACCAAGGGGAACTGCCCTATGTCTCCTTTTCCTGATGCAAGTCCCATTTTTATAAGGAGCGCGAGATTTTCCTAATACCAGGCAGACACTGAAGAGAGACTATGTTTTTTGCAGGGGCATAGGGGTGGAGATTAGGGGTATCGAGGTCCATGGAGCAGTAACTAAACTGATAATATGACAGGAACTTGCTGATACTCATCGCTGTGATAATGAACTTCTAAGGACGAGTTAATATCATTGGTTGAAGTATGAACTACCTACCACATAGTGGCGATTATTTGGAAGTGGAGTTCAAAAGTGAATGGTGTTCAAAATGCACATTTCTCTAGGGAGTTTCCCAAGTATTCATTTAATTCAAATTAATCTCAATTTAGGATACCGTTGAACCCAATTTCTTAATCCAAGGTTTGATGCTAAATACAAGACCAATGACCATGTAGACATGGTCTTAGACCAATCGTTCAAGAGGTACCACTTCTAACCGTATTCTATTTGCTGAAACGAATCCGTGGTGTTTTTTAACGTGGAATAGCACACCTCTCTTCTTTGTTTCCATCACCTTCTGTACTTCATCTTGTTAAAGCAAAACAAACAATAATCATAAACCCACTTTCATCACAGCTGCCAAAGAAACGACTTTAGTTTTGTTTTCTTGTTTCAAGAAGACACGCCAAAGGTCAGACAGCGGTGTGTTTTAATTCAGTTGGAAAAACAAACTCACACGAATTGATTTTTCAGGTCCCCTTTCCTGGACCTGACATGTTAAGAAGTCCAAACCACTTTGCATAGTTACATGAAACAGATTTGTGTGCTGCAAAGTCTCTGCGTGCTGTAGCAGTGAAACATTCCCAAGACAATCACTAGACATGCAGAACGCCAGCCGGAAGCGTGAGTCTCTTTCAGGGGTCTTGCTGCAGGGAGCATGAGGCTGTATTGTGAATGCACAGACAACTACATAGGGCAAGTCAGCCATCCCCCAGGGAGCAAAGCATCCCTGGTTCCTCTGAATCTATAAGGGGTTTCTCCCCGACGTGTGTTTTCCATCCCTACATTTGCAGTCCAGAGACCCACCCAAAGTGTGCGAGTTGCCTGCTGGACAGTCAAAGCCAAACCACCATGAGTAGGAAAGCGAACCCACCTCCTCTTTCCTCACTCCCCAAAATGGTGAGAGAGCAACTGTCACTCACCCCATGGATCCAGAAAGAACCCCCTCCCCCCCCCCAATTCCTGGGTTTAAGCATGGCAGCAGGCCAAGCAAGCTCGAATGCCCAGGCCGATTTGATTGTAGCTATGTTGGTGCGAGGTGGAAGAGTGCTTTTGTTTCCCTACCTGAACCAGTTGGGGGAAGGCGGGGCTGAGGACTGCCTGCCTCAGGAGCCCTAGCCCATGTGCTTATACTGCGATCGATCCCTGGGGATCTGCACCTGGTTGGCAGTCATTTTGTGATGGACATGGTAAATCGCAAGCGTCACCACAATGACCAGACCCAAGATGAGCCCCAAAATCAGGGGCAAGGTTTCCTCCAACTGCTCGCGCTCGTCCACGGGACACTGGTGCTCTGAAAGAGGTAGAGGAGAAGCGTGGTGAGCTCCTGGGAAACCCCGCCCCACGCGTCCTCCTAGCCAAACCCAAAGGGAAAGAAGATGGACAGAGTTCATGACAGAGATCCCCCCCCCCACAAAAAAAAATACCTTTTCACCCAATTCCAGAGCTCAACTTTATAAAATTTCTGCACAATGTAAAGTAAAAATATATTGCTCTAAAGATGGCAACATCCACATAGCTAGATTTGGGGCAGTTGGGAACAAAATATCCAGATGATTTCTTTGAATTTTCGGTGTCCCAGCACTAGAAGTAATCATTGTTATTTTTATTGTTGGCATAATTTTCCTCTTGCTGTCGAAGTGGAACGTACACATGGGCACTGTTTGCAAATGAACGGCATTTAAGAAGGAAGAAAAACTGGTCATATCAGGTACTGACAACCATACGGAGCAACTGCAACTCCGGTGTAAACTGGTACACACCACCTGTACAACTATTCCGTGGTTGATAAAAAAGATCAATATACAGACCTACTTTATAACCTAGCAATCCAATCCCAGGTAGTCACCCAAGAAATACAAAAACAGAGACACAAAAAGACTTGACTATAAATCGCCATCAAAGGTTTGTTCATCAAAGCCCCCTAATGGAAACAATTAAATGTCCATCTTGGCAGAACTGAAAAACAAACAGTGGCATATCCATGCAACAAAATATTAGCCAATAACCAAAGGGAACTACTGATAACCGCCACAATATGGATGAATCTCAAACACATCGTGTTGAGTGGAATTGTCCAGACATAGGAGAGTATCTATGGTAATGTTCCATTTATAGGAATTCAAAACTAAGTATACAGAGCAAGAAGTAAGAATATTGCTTACATGTGAACAAAGGGGCACAGGGAACCTTCCGGCAGGATGCAAATATTCTGTACTTTAGTCTGGATGATGGGTATAAAGTGCAAGTATTTAAAAATGACTGAAGCCTGACTGACCCACTCTCTC